GTCTGTATTCTGTCGAAACTGCCAGACGCGGATCGCGATTTCGATCTTTTTGGATCTCATCAGCGCGTCGCAGGCAGCTCCGACAGAATACAGACCAACTTTTACCTGCTGTCTTAACAGTGCATTTCAGAAAATACTACAAACGGCACAGTGAACGCCATCTGTAGCCTTTGTTAATAAAAAGCGACTTTAATATTTGCTGTAAGTTAATTTTTCGTCGATTGACAACCATTTTAATGATTTTATAAAAAACATACGTTTTTTAATAAACAATATACCACTGGTTTGGATAACGTGTAAAAATACCATGTCGTCTGGTACAACAGTCTTTTAAGTAATTTAGAACATTTTTTTCTTACATGATATATAGGCAGAATCTGAGCCCTTTTCGAGGTAAGGGGGAGAGGGTGGTAAATCGTAAATATGTCAACCTAACCGCTTGATTTTGACGGTATAATTTACTTAAAATCTCTGTCACGGAAATTGAGTCTCGAAAATTTTCCCTCTGTCTCCGAGTATGTTTTAAATTTGCCCCCATCTCCCAAATCAGTCCCCGAAACATATAATCACATTTGAATTAAAGGTTTGTAATCGCAAAGAGATATTTTTTTTATGATGGAAAAACAAATTAACGATTTTCTGTAAGACCTTCTTTCTTACCAAATTCCATGATTCTAAGTCTATGGCAAGTACCCTATAGGTTTTGATTCTCCTGCGACGTGTTAGAAAATAAAGCTCAAATGGCCGTATCATTGGATTGCGTTGACTTATAAGTTTGATTTTTTTTAGAGCTTCGATGTACCGCAGGCGTAAGTATTTGAAGTTAATTTCAACTTGATACCTCCACCCGTTGCTAAGAAAAAGTGTTTTGACAGACAGACAGACGGATGGACTGACGTACAGACGGACAACAAAGTGATCTTATAAGGGTTCCGTTTTTTTCGTTTTGAAGTACGGAACCCAGGGCCGGACTGCAAATGCACCCCGGGCCAAATAACTCAAGAAATGTGAAAAAAAGAGAAATTTGGTTACATCGCACCCCGGGTCAAAATCTTCAGTGCGGCTCTGACAGAAGCCTAAAAATGCTCTAAATTACTTAAAAAGTTGATGTACCAGGTGTCAGAAGGTTGAGATGGCATGTTTTGTTTTTGTACATCAGCTCTCCAACTATTACAAATCAATTTTAATCGGTAAAGACGCAGTATTTTTCAGTGATGTTTGTACCACGTACTATTTTTTTTGTTATTTTGGTGTCATTTTTATTATAGCTCAAAAATCGCGAATAATCATTGTTACCATATCCCCAGCGAATGTATAATATTTTTCTTTGGTTTCAGGGCCGACAGCACAACAAAGTAAAAGTAAAAGATCGCATTTACGTCTTACTCCTAATACTTCTTATTTCCGAGTAAACAGTAAATGCGATTTCTTACTTCAGAGGTTACGTTGCTTTAATTTTGCGTCCCTGATATCAGGAAAAATAAATCGTATACGCCCTTCCCAGGGGTTTTTTACCCTTGAAGGATTGTCGTACTTTCTTCTTTTTGTACGTTATATTTGTATATTTAAAACCACTTTAAAAAAAATAACATTAACTTTTATCACTCGCACTTTGAAAATGGATTATTTGCACTTTATAATAATATGTTCCAACCTTACCATTGTCAACCTTAAAATGGATCATTGCACAATGAAAATGGATTGTTTGCTCTTTGAAATATTTTGTTTCAATTTTTAATAAATATATTATTGCATTTTTAAAAGATTCATCGACATACAGCACATATTCTCTATCATGCTGCCTCGTATCACAAAAAAACAAATGAGTTGGAACGTATAGCATATCATGTTGGTCTTACTTAAGTTCACTCTCCTTGACTGTCATGAAAACGATATAGCACACAATTCCCAGGGGGAGCTTATATCATATTTGATAAAAAAATATGAATTTTAGCCAGTATCGATTGGATTGCTTCGTACAGACTATGTTGATGACGCACACGCAATCTTATATTAATAATATAATACATATTATTATACTTTAGAAAATACCTTTCACTATATACAAGGGCGGATCAATAAGTACCCGTGTTAGAAATGAAAACCTCTTTTTTTTTAATTTTTTTTATTTTTCGACATAGTCCCGTTTTAGAAAGATACACTTCTCCCAAAGTCCCTGCCATTTTTTTTTACCTTTGTCAAACTCTCCCCCCTGTCTAGGCGATGACTTCCTCGTTTGAGCTAAATTTTTTTCTCGCGAGTCATTTCTTCGTGGTACAGAACAAGATGAAGTTGCAGGGAAACAAATCGAGTGAGTACGGGGTGTGCGGCAGCAGTTCATAACGTAATTCATGCGGTTTGGCGGCAACAACTCCTGATGAATGTGTCGGTGCGTTATCGTGTTGAAAACGCACCTTCATTTTCGTCAAATGCGTCCGTGTCTCCTTTTTGTCGAAGCGGTCTAATAATTCGCTGTAGTATTGTCCAGTGATCATTCTTCCTTTTCCTAAAAAATGCGTAAAATGATTTCCTCGGTAACAACGTTTGTCAGGCTTCCTGGTCGCTACTATCAAAAACGGAACTTTGCTCACGTTTAAATTCGTTGAAGCAATATCTAACTGTGGTCATAGATGGCGAAATGTCTCCATAAACAGTATCTAACTTTGTTTTCATCTCCTCGAAACACGTCTCAGTCGAATGGCTGCCAAATTCAAACTAACCTTTCAATCAATCAGTCTGAAATTCATTTTGGCGTGTTTTGATAGATGGCAGCACACGATGATAACACCAATTTCCTTCAGGAACGTCCTGTGTCTTTAAACACGGGTACTTATTGAACCGCCCTCGTAAAGTAATTACAAAATAGCATAATTATGCACAGGATTAAAAAAAATTAATAAAATTACTAATTTATATAACGTCTATATTTTTATTAAAAAAATTCAAAAGTATTGTTATTAATTACATATATTATATTCCAACTAAATGTAATTTGTTGCCTCCACCCTAGACTTCCGCTTTGCAGGAATTGCATTGTGGCGAATGACAAATTCAGAATCATCCGATTACGTATTAAAGATAAATTCATTATACAAATTCATTATTTCACTAAAATCTATATAGGTACATCGTTTTCAAAGGTTGAGATGCACACGTAGACGGTTCACAAAATGTCGAGACTAAACTGGAAATCTTATTGATTTGTCGTGTTTCGTCCACGTTCGACTAGTAGATAAATTTGACAGTTCTAGCGCAAAATCCCATGTATTTTCTTAAGAAGGTTCATTCTCGTACTTTAAGTTTACTTTTACCCTCTCCACTCCAACTCTGACGTCACAGCTGTCAGATGTTGTTAGCCTTTTTTTAGATGCTCCTCCTTTACGTGTAGTAATTTAATGAAGATTTGAAATGTCATTTTTAACATTTGTTGATTTCTTTTTAATGCTATTTTAGTTTATTTTAATTTCAATTCATGTACTATGTCACATCTTAACCAATTTCTTTCATTTATAACTAGTTTTTAGATAGAACGTGTTTTCCCTAATGAAAACTAATTTTTGCTAAATGCCTTTGTTAAAACTAGAATTAACTAATGTTCAAAATTTAATATCGGTTAAAACTAGTTCTTACCAGACAAAACACGTTTTTCCGAAGCGAGTCATTTAAAACTGTTCCGACCGAAGTTAAAGTTCTTCGTAAGAATGTTCCTTAACAATGTCCCTTTTTTAAATTTTATGGTTGCGTTCTGTTGTCTTGTTTGAATACTTTATGTCGATCTTTTTAATAAATAAATATTTTTAAAACTATATCTTGTTTTCAATCCCAAATTAGTTTCTCCAGTGCTAGTTTTAACTAAAGTTCGGAGTGACAACTAGTTTTATCTGAAAATCACATATATCAGTGGTAAATTCTAGTTTTAATTAGGTATTTCTAGTTTTACAAAGGCATTTAGTAAAAACTAGTTCTAACTAGGTAAAACGCGTTCTATTTAAAAACGGGTTTTAACTGTAACACATAAACATCAAACCGCAGGTATTTTTCTTACTATCGCTGCTAGACTGATTAAAATATCATTTGTTCTTAAGTCGTCATCCTCGTAAGTGGCGGTATCAAACGGCACAAGCGCACAACTAAAACCATCGTTCTTGATTTTTAATTATGTCTCTAAAGTAAAGCTGCACCCCTCATGCGACATATATTATGCATTGTATTGAATTAAAATAGCTATATTCTTTTGTGTGCACCCGATATTGTTTTATTAATTTTCTGTTATAGGCAGCACGTCGGTTTGGTTGACGGTTTCTTTTACGATTGAGAGATACGTCGCAGTGTGTCATCCAATCAGGGGTAAGGTTCTTTGTACGGAAAGAAGAGCCAAGACCATTATTTGGATCATAAGTTTACTGTGTTTTGTTTTCACGGCAACCACTCCACTGGAACATCAGCTCAAACTCGAGAAAATATGCATTCAAAAGATGTGTACGGCCAACAATAACAACAATAATGTCAACAACAATAACAATAACAATAACGGCCATAGGGATACAGAAAGTTTAATTGCTTCGGTAGTCCCGAACACATCTTTTACCATACAAAATAACATATCTCCCAATGACAGTTCCGAATGGAATTGTATTTCAGAAGTTCTTTTAAATAACATCACAAAGGAACAAAACGGCGACAGTGTAAAAAATGTGTTAAAAATAAAATCTGAAAGAAACAAAGATTTACTAACAATTACTGCCAAAAAGAATAGTTTTCAACCAGAAAATAATAATAACACAAACGAAACCAGTAACAGTGCCCATCCTGATTGGAAACGCAAAAAGCAAGCTCGAAAAAAAGGAGAGTCCAATTTGATTTTGGAATATCCTGAGGAAGAAAACGCAAATAACAACGAGACGAATTGTAACGATAACGAAAATGGACTTCTGCAAACATTTCTCTTTTCAGGCGAATTAACTGACGATCAGTATTCTAACGAAACTATAGAAAATTTTACGTCAACTGCCGATGCAGATAAAGAATTGTACGTTCCATCGTATTTCATGAAGGAAAACGAAACGTGCTGTTATAACACGAGTTACATTGATACGGAATTGACAAAACTCGGAAAAAACAAAACCTATCAAAAGGTCTATTATTGGTTCTCGTCGATCGTATTCGGATTACTTCCGCTAGTTCTGATAGCAACATTCAACTGTTTCTTGGTCAATGCTGTTTATAAATCACAAAAGCAGCGAAAAGTAATGACTAATTCGCAGGTATGTTTCTCACTGATATTAATATTATTCAGTCTGTAATAGCATGCTATGTTTATATTATACGTATGTATGTATGTATTTAAAATCAAAAAAATGTCATCTCACATAAAAAAGTAAAATTCACTATACCTGTAATCTAATACAGGTCGATGCATATGTCGAAAACTATTCGGACACAGTTTTTTTTCCAGAATTCTTTAAAAATATGCCTAATATCTCCATAACTACAGCTGACGTTAGGCAAAGTTGTCTCATTTTGTTTAAAAGAATGTTATTTTTAACGAGGCAAACTATTTTATATTCAATACTTAAAAAAAAGCCACTATAAATTTTTTTTAAAAAATTAATATTTTAGAAAATATGAATGATTAGAATGTTAAAAAATCTCAATTTTGACGACTTATAAATCCATAAAAATAACCGATGTTATATTAAATTGTTTGTGTATTCTTTATAATATAGTTAACAAACTAGGTAATTACAAATTAATATGAAAATTTTTATCATACAAAGTATTGATGTATCTCTTACTTATTAAACTATAAAGTTTATAAATTACTTAAAACTGCGTGGTAATATATGGTATATTACTGCATTATGTGAAATTCAAAAATGTTTAACAATGTTTACAAGGATATCAACTTAATCTCTACGTGGTAGGTACGAAACAAAACGAAAAGATCATGGTGCTCAGTATCCTTGTCCTTATGGACTTCTTGCACATTTTGAATTCTACAAAATGTTGTAATATACTACAGATCGCGGTAAATGTCTAGATGATGGCTCCCCACCCCCGAAGGGGGTGAGGTAGGGGGGATCGAAAGAGGGTGGTCACCTGCGTAAAACCCCATAAAACAATTGCGACGGTCTCACCCCCATAAAAAGTTATGGGGGTTGAAAGTTGATTATTTTGACAATTTTCATACACTACGAGGACGGTTCAATAAGTACCCGTGTTAGACATGAAGACACCTTTTTTTTAAAAATTTGTGTTTTTATTTTTCAACATAGTCCCCTTTTAGAATGATACACTTCTCCTAACGACCCTGCCATTTTTTTTACCCCTCCAAAAAATAAGATTTGTCGAACTCTCCAAAATCCCCCTGTCTTGGCGATGACTTCCTCGTTTCAGCTAAATTTCTTTCTCGCTAGTCATTTCTTCATGGTAGAGAACAAGATGAAGCCGCAGGGAGTTAAGTCGAGTGAGTACGGGGTGTGCGGCAGCAAATTCTTAACGTAATTCCTGCATTTTGGCGGCAACAACTCCTGATGAATGTGCCGGTGCGTTATCGTAAAACGAAGCACGTTTGAGTGGAATGGCTGCCAAATCCAAACTGACCTATCAATCAGTCTGAAATTCATTTTGACGTGGTTTGATAGATGGCAGCACACGATGACAACACCAATTTCCCTCAGGAACGTCCTCTGTCTTCAAACACGGGTACTTATTGAACCGCACTCGTATAATTCAAATAAAATTCAATAAAAAAATATTTTCAAGCGGGTGGAGGTGGGGGATCGAAAGAGGGTGGTCACTTGAACAAAATCCGNTCTACGTACCTCTCAGGTCTATTGTTATATAAATTTTCTTATTTCAAGAGATAATTTGAAAATTAATAATCAAAGTTTGTTCGAAGTTTTTCACTTGTGATATATAGAGTATCACACGAAGAAAATGAAAAAGGAAAATTTACCTAAATATTAAAGCGATATCTACAATTTATCCCACTAACCCATTGTTTCGTAAACGTAAATAAAAATTACAATTTGGAAATAAATTTACTAGGTATTTTAGTTAATATTATAAACTAAATGGTAATAATTAGGAAACTTGAAATAATTTTTAAAGAAATATCAAAAGTTACCTAGTAACTTCAACTATCTCTACGGATAACGCCTAGTTCCCTCCCATATACCTGTTTTTAATTAGGGTTAAAATTTTCGGTATGTCGAATTCCCTCCTACGTATACATCAATTGCCTCCCATCGGCTAAAACCAAAATCAAAAAGCTAGACGCACACGAATTTCCAAACATTGAATTTGTTAAGGAAGTGGGAAACCAGGTTAAAATTAAATAAATAAACATTTCATAACTGAAATGTGTTTTCTTTCTGAAATTATTTTATCTTTAATTTACTGAAGTACTGAAGTGCACTATAAATACATATTTATTTTCGATAAATAAAATCGGTAAGTCGGAATCGACTATCTATATTTTAACCAAAACTACCTGCGGGAGGGAATTCGGCATCACCGATTAAGTTTATGAAAATTGTTTAAAAGTCCAACATAAAGAAACACCTAATTATTAAGTATACGTTTCCGTCTTTCGAGTTCTGATGGAGGACGCATTAATAGCTAACATTAATCAATAATAACAGTAACAGAGTATATTTACAACTATAACAATGAAAAGGAAAACATAAATGCAAACAAGACTCGATTCGTTGAGAATTGAAATAATTATAAAAAAGGAAGTGTTTTTATAGGACGATCTAAAGGTGATTAGATAAAGTAGGGTCAAATTAGAAAGTACTCAAAATAAGAAATACTATAATTCAGAATTTAGTTCCAAATCACAGAAGAGACACATTATTAAGTTACAATTTGCAAGTTATTAAAACAGATATATAGAATACAAAAGCATTCGAATAAAAGATTTCAATATTTACAGGAAGACAAAATTACACAAAATAATTTGAATACAAAAGTCTTAAATGGTTACACAGGGAAGTAATGTACAAAAGCATTATTTGAATGTCGCCTTTGAAATATAGAAGAATAGAATAGAACTACATATTTCAAAAGGTATTTACATCTAAGGTTTCCAATGGAATTATTTAGTGTGTATAATACACTAATATTTTTATATTTTCTTCTAAAGATACATTTTTTTTGTAGTAAGCGGCATTAAATTAAAACTATTTTTTTATGTTTATATATGTATAGAAGCAGGAGTTAAGAGGAATAGAGGTAGACCTAGATTAGGTTACTATTCGCAAATAGTTAAGGATGTGGGATGTTCTAGTTTTAAGGAAATGCGGATATTAGCTCAGGATAGGAAGAATGGAGGTGCATGTCAACCAGTTTTAGGACTTACGACCTTATGATAATAATGTATAGATATAGTTGGGAGGATCAAAATTGGCAAAGGAAACGCTTCATGAGTATGCTTCATTTACTTTCTCTAGCGATGTTCCCCTTCTAATGTCTTATATGCGCGCTGGCAAAATCGTAGGTAAGGAGAAAAAAGCTCATTATACTCTCGACTCTTGTTCATTAAACATAATTTTTCATACAGTACCTGCCAAAAGTTTTGTTCAATCATGAATAGTAGTGCGAGTCGAAAACAAGCGTTGAAGCCGTTAATATTTCTTCAAATATAAATAAACATCTCGTTGATATTTTCAGTAGTAAATGGTACCAATAACAGCACATTTGGGCAATGCAATTGTAGTGGATAAAATGGTCAATTTTTCCGTGCAGTACTATACGGATTATACGCTCCTCACGGGTTAAGAGTTTGGCCGAGAGTTGTCTCCTTCCTTTTCTGGCCTAGTGCTGTTCTATTCTAATTTGCGCCAGTCAAACTGAAGGTCACATCGCTACAGAAAGTAAACGAAGTATAGTACAGACAAAGTGAAAAATAACCGAATAACAATAAGCGCCTGATGCTGGTAACATGTTCAAATTCTGCTTGAAAATATTTTACATTAAAAATTCATAAAATCTTTTTAAGTTTGTCTTATTAGCGGACTATAAAAAGACATTTTGTTTTAAAGGTCTAGTCGTTTTTGTTTCTTCAGAACAGATCTTCGTTAACCTTTCAATTTGAATTTTTTATAATTCTTGGTAATAGTTGGTCTATATTTGTGTTAAGTAAATATTTACACTTATTATTCCTCATTTGATTTGTAATAAAAAGAATTAGTATTATTTTTGACTTCAAGCTTCATTAAATTATAATATATGTGCAGCGTTTGCACTCTAATTAGCTAAGATTCTACATTCACTGGTTACCAAGGAGATGATATGGATACTATATTTAAAAGTTTTTGTCTTCTAAAATACTTAACTTCTTAAAAAAAAATTGTAGGACCTTTTTTATTAATATTAAAATAGCGAGTATGAAAAAAAATGTTTCTTTTAGAAATAACATTTTTTGTTGTTTTTTATGAAAATGGGGTCACATTGCTATATTTAGGATAAGGGAAAAACTAATTCCGGTTTTCTTAATAGATGTCTCTGAAGTCGTATACCTCTATAGTCTGTTCTTTTAAGAGATGGGCTAAATGTAAACACAATCACGCATTGTGCACGGGATTGTAGGGTCGTACATACTTAAAACTAGACACTGTTAGAAATAAAACGAAAGTATTATATTCAGTATAGTTATTTTTCCTTAAAATTACAATATGATAAATTAGCTGTAATATATAATTTATTGTATTTGTTAATAACTTCGAACATTTTATAGTAAAATCGTAATTTGATAAATTTTAGAAAATATTTTGATATTCTTACGAACGTAACAATTTAACATAACAAGAAATGCAGTAGTTAATTATAATAGTAGCAATATTTATTCAACAAAGCGATTCTGTAGTGCGTTTCAAAGGCAACAGTCTATTGAGTATTCCAGACATAAAGGTAGCGAGATTTCATAAGGTCATTTTCGTCATATTCTATTCTGCTTTACTTCCGAAAAAAGAAAACTGCAGCGCAGGCTTATTGAGAATTTTGTGGCATTTATGGTAATTAAGTGCTTAAGTGGACGCCAGAAAGTTAAATGTTAAGGGAGAACCTCGGCCTGGCTGGTCAATCGTTAAAAAAGTTGATAAATTTTTTAAAAAAATCGAGGTAAACCGACATATTTTGTCTCATCTTCCCGCTACTGATCTAAATATCGGCCATAAAACAGTTTTAAATCATTTACATAAGACTGAATATCAAAAGAATTTCGATACTTGGGTTCGACATGAATTAACAGTAAAAAATT